CTCTGTAAATTTCTCCCTTGCTATTCTCCTGTTACAGTAAGTGACCCCTTAATTATTTGCACACATACATAGAGTGGACACTGAAACTTTTTTGAGCTGTTGTTTATTTGTTACGTTGGAGGGTAGAAGAGGTTCTGCTGAGATATTCAGTCTAATGTTTGTGATTTCCTTACAAGGCACGGTTACTTTGGCTAAGAAACTCAGTAGAATTACTTTCCTGAAGAGTGGACAAATAATGCAAATATCTCCTTGTGGTGACAGGTGTCTGTGGTCAATGGCACAAGTCCTTTTGCAAGTGACTATGATCTAAAAAACATCATTGCAGCGTATCGAGATAGAAATGGTAAGCCTGAATGTATAGCTGCTAACTGCAGGACAGCAGCAGTTACTACATTAGTAGCTGTTATTTAAGGATTTGAGTTCTCTATTAAAACTGAAAAGACCATTCACTTGGGTATTTTCCTTCCCTGTTTCAGTGACGACAGTATTTTCAGATCCTAACCCCATTTGGATGACTGGAAGAGCAGCAAATATGCCATTTATCGTTAATGCCACTATTCATTACCCAGTGGAAGTTATCTTATATCCTTAGAAAACTACATTAGTGGTGAAATAACTGGATAGTATTATTTGAGCCTTCACATACAGGCCAAATGAACACTACTTTCTTTTAGACTTGTCCCTAAATTTTTCCTTTTTCAATGAAGTGTATGCTGTATACTTGTTTGCCTATCCCTGCATGTGCATACCCTTACTGTTTCTGCTTGCAAAACCCTTTCTGTCTTTTCCTACAGGGAATGTCTGTTGCTGTTCTGCCTTACTAAAATGATATTTTAAGGCAGTTTCTTAGCAGTTCGCTCTGAACGTCCTTACTAAGTTTTGGTCTGGTTCTTCAATCCTGTAATTGTTGTAACTGCTACAGGCAAATCGTGTTACTGCATTTTATGACCTAAAGCAAATCAGAAAACCTGTATGTAGCGTAGGCTCAACAAATGATAGCCCTGCAGTGGATGAGGCAAATTTGTTGCATGTGCCAACAAAACAAAAAAGCCTTTTTTGCTCCAAAGTAATTAATTATCTTTATGTTCTTTGCTTAGTTTCTCAGACAAGAATAGGCCTGTAATTAGAAAAAAAAACTTAGAGCACATCCCTCACAACTTTTCTTTACCTGAATTAAGAATTACCAATACCTACTTGCTGGTGAAGTAGAGGCAACATAGGCACTTTCCACAGAGTTGTTCTGGATGTCTTCTATGATAGGCATTCTAGCTTTTCTGTGGTCAGAGGCTTTTTGAGGTTTCTGTGACTAAAGGCTTTGTACTTGTTGCCAAATTGATGTGCCTTTCCACCTCTGAATTCTTTTGTTTAGTTATTGCAGTGAGTGTATCAGAAGTGTCTTCTTTAACGCTCCTTGACTTCATGTAAATATCAGCCAGGATTTTGGGAAATGATTAAATTTGCCTGGATCCAGTATGTCAGCATTCTCCTCGTCTTTCTTTGGGTGTTTGGTAGGATTAAAATGTTTGTGTTCCAGAATCAGGTGTTTGCTACGACTCCAGTTTCGCCAATTCTGCCACTGTCTCCGGTATTGTCCTACAAACAGCATCAGTCCTGAGGAAATGCCTGAAAACTTAAGTAATGTGGTTTAAAAATAAGTAGCTGCTTTTTTTTCTCTGTACATTTTCCTTTTTCTTTAGAAGATCAGAACCTTGTAAGTATGTTCTGAAAATGTTCTGTTCTTGCTACATCTTGTGAATGCTACGTCTTGTCATGAAAGGATGTCATTTTCTTTTTTTGAAGATGTGCGTGTCTCTGTATTTCTGTAGGAACATTGCTTTGGGACTGAAGTGTTTAATTTTGAACAGTTAAAGAAGAACTTGGTTTGTGGGTTTTGGTTGTTTTTTTTTCTCCAACAGGATCGCACTTCAAAAAACAAAACAAAACAACAAAAAAAAAACCAACAAAAAAAACCCAAACCCCAAACCAGAATTCAGTGAGCTGCTTTTGAATGACCTAAATTTTGTTAAACCACAAAGACTGAAAATAATATGACAACCATCATAATATGAGCTACTTGTACTGTGTTTTTAATCAATTCGTTATTGCGTTAGGATTGAGCTAAGGGCTACTTATATATCCACTTGTGTGCTATAAAAGGGAAAAATATATCTATCATATATGGGGGATGAGACTGTCACTTTTTTTTTTTTTTTTCCCCCCCACGTTTCTGTAACCGTGGTTATAAGTGTCCACTGACTTTGTTATTAAATTTGTTGATGGAAAAATTAAGGCAGATTTGAGAAGCTGGGTTCTAGGTGATGGTATCTGCAAAATTTGTACAGTCATTTTACTATTGGCAATATTACTGTAAGCTATTGGGAACATCAAAACACAGAAGCATAGCGTCTCACAAAGAAAACGTTAACAGTCTACCAAAGAAACTTCAGAGTTCCAAAGCAAATGAATAATTATTTTCAGAATGTATATGATAATTCAGAATAGAGTAATTCCTGCTGAAAACTGGAAGACTGTTCCTCATTCTTGGAGGCAGGTGGGAAAGATGACTTAAGCCCAGAAAGAGAAAACAGGCAAATAAATTTTTTTGTTTGTTTTCCTTTGGGGCTTATGTTTCTGAATTTGTTACTATTCAATTCTAGCAAAGCAGTTTTATGGCAGGGGGATTCTAAAACATTTCTGGGTATTATTTAATAAAATTCTCTTGAGCCATGGTGTAGCTAATAAAGGTGAAAGAAAAATTTGCAGAGAATTGTACAGTTTGTCTTTTGGCTGTTGCCCTCCAGAATCTTGGTAGTTAAAAAAAAAAAATCTGCCCATTCCTTTTCACCTTCTCAGAATAGCCATCTTCCCTTGAGGTTTTGTTTAACTTTCTTTGAAACTTTGCAGTCTGGTTACTTCCATTTCTCTCAACCTTTATGTGCTAGATGGACTTCGTCCCAGCTTTTTCTTCAACACAAGTGCTAATGCTAACATAGGGAGGGCTGTCTTGGTTATCCAGCGCATTTTGTGTTCTTGAAACTTACACAGTTGTGAACTGTAAATTGTTCTATCTGTACTTGCAGGTAAGTATATTTCATTTGAAGTCTCCCATTTGCTCTTTGAATCTCTGAGCTCTGATAGATTATATCATATTCATAACTTGATAGCTTATGAATACAGAAAATTGACTTTGTATCAGAGTGCCCAGTATCAAAGCAGCTGTTAATTGCTTTTTAGCCTTTCCAGGCACTGAAAAGGATAAACGCTGACTCCTGGGAGCTCATTTGCTCAGTGTCTGAAATTGGTATTTATAGCTGGTCTGCCATAGTCCCTGCTCTTCTCCATTACAGTTCTGCTACTGCTTATGTGGCTGCAGGAATTAGCTCTGGGAGGTTGTTATGGCAAAGATTATACCAAATGTACTCACTTTATAATACTGATCAGTTACTGAATGAGTGTGGTATGTAGGATGCACGTGAGCAAGGACTAGAAATATCTGAAGGGACCCTAGAACCCCATTTTAGGGGGTTGAGTTTTTTGTTCTCTCGCAGCAATGGAGTTCTTAGCACTCAAAAAAGGTGAGCAGGAGTTTGCTTAAGCTAGCATCTGGAAGATGAAAGAGGATAGGGGCTGGGAGAGCTGGGGCTCCTCTGGGGAAAAGAGAAGGCTGCAAGGTGACCTGATAATGGCTTTCCAGTATCTAAAGGGAAACTACAGGAAAGAAAGAGAGGCTAGCAGCATCTGTGGTGACAGAGCAAGGGGAAGTGGTTTTAGGCTCAGAGAGTAGATTTAGGTTAGATAAGCCTTCTACAGTAAAGGGTGGTGAGGCACTGGAACAGACTGCCCTGTAATGTGGTTGATGCCCTGTCTCTGGAGACTTCAAAGGTGCAGCTGAATCAGGCTCTGGGCAACCTGGTCTTGCTGTAGTGTTTCTGTTTGTTGCAGGGGTGTTAGACTAGCAGGCCATTAGAGGTCCCTTCTAGCTCTGAGGATTGTATGATGATGACAGGACAACAGCGCTAATGGGAGATACTTTACTATTCTATCCTGTTATAGTCTTCCTTATTAAGTTGTGATAAGTAAGACTTATGAGAGTAACAGTATATGAGATTAGAAATGATGAATAGGTCTGGTTCAGGAAATAGAGAAAACATTCTTCATGTTTTTCTTCAGGACAGACCTGGGGGAAAAAAAAAAGTGCAAAACAGAACTTAGGAGAACCATGTAAATAAAAGAAACAGATGGCCTAGCTGTAAGGGAGCTTTAAGAAAAAGTGTTCCTTAGAAGGCTACCTCTAAAGATTCTTCCTTTATCTTGCTTAACAACAGTAAATAAAAACACCGCTGCAAATCAACACCAGTAGTTCTGTGTAGCAGAACTGTGTATATAGTTGCCAGAGAGCAATCTAAGCCCTGCTCAGTGATGAGGCCCCAGAGGTGTGCAAAAATGAGTTGGATGTTAGGAAGTGTTATTAGAAAAGTGAAGTTGTGGGTTAAAATTTTTGCACATGAACCAAAGTGGAAATGTAGACATTTGGGTTCCCAAGTATGTAAGAGAATATATTAGGAGGTTTTTTTTTTTTTTTTTGGGGGGGGGGGGGGGTTTTTTTTTTTTTTTTTTTTTTTTTTAAGGAGGTGATATGTTGGGGGGAGTGAAAGCAAACAAAATGCCTCTAGGTCTGTTTAACCAGCCAAGCAGCCTTTTCGTGGCAGCGACCTTGTGGTTCTCTCCTGGCTGCCTTGTCAGCAGCAAGCGAGGGGCAACGCGCCCGAGGCACAGAGGCCCCGGGTTGGCGGCGTCGCAGCAGAAAGCTGCAGGAGGATCGCAGGGCCCTTCCTCGCCGTTGCGCCTGAGCCGCGGGCTGCGGGGAGGCCTCGGCCCCCCCAGTCGGTACCGCGCGGGGCGGGGCGGGCTGCCGGCCCTGCCCCCGCCGGGCTGCTCCTCTGCCGGGGATGCTCCGGAGTCGGGGTGGATCGGCCCCTTCCCGGGCTCCTCCCGCTGCCGCGGCACCTCGGCCACGTCTGAAAGCGGCTCATTGTCTCCGCAGGGAGCTCAAATCCGCGGCGGTGCCGGGAGGCGGCGGGCAGGTACGTCCAAGCGGACGGGGGTCCGCGCCGCAGTCGGCGAGCTGCGCGTGCTTCCGGCTCCGTAGGACGGGGCTCTGTCGCTATCCGGCGGCACCTCCTTCCTGAGCGACCCGGGCGGTGGGTTTTTAAGGCGGCTCGTGCTGTGAATTAGCAGTGGTGTCCGAGGCCGGGCCCGGCCCTGTTCCCGCCTCGGGCGCGGTGCTGCTGCCGAGCGGTACCGGCGGTGCTGTGACCGTGGTGGTTTGTCGGTTTATTTATTTATTTTTAATCTGGAGAACGTGGCTGATTGAGCTGAGGGGATTAAACGGTGAAGTCAGGTGCTGTGGAGCGCGTTTTCTGTCGTTCTAGCAGATCCCTTCCCATTTTTCTAACGTGTCAAGCCTCTGTTTCTAGGTGAAAATAACATAGAGCCAAATAGTTTGTCGTTCCTTCTTAGATTTAGTGGTACTTTCACGGGGCACTGCGCAGCGCAGCTTAGCCTGCACGTCCTCAGGCTGACTTTTAGGATGCTATTGTTAACAGCGTCTGCAAAGTCCGAACGAGGTGAAATGCACTTTGTCACCACAAATGTCTCCGTGATCCCAGTTCTGTCATCCTTGAAAACAGTTAATATTCTCAACAAGGATTTCAAGAAATGACGTCTGCTCAGCTGCAGTTTTGGTTGGGAATGACTATTTCTGAGTAAAATACTAGTGGCAGAAGACACTATATTATCTTCTGCAACACTGCATGGGGAAATAGATTTTGTAGGTCTTGACGTAGTCTTTTGTTCATCAAACTATCTAATTTCAAACTGTTTTGGCTGAAAAACAAACAAAAACAAAAAAAAGATTAAACCTCAATACCTTTTTAAAAATCGTTATTATTAATATAAATGTTATGGTCATACCATGAAAACCATGGTATGTTTCATTACACTATGGAGTATTTAAACTTAAACTTCATCATTACCTGGAAGGAACTCCTGCAGTCTGATTTTCTACTAGACTGTAAAAGAAATGATGTCAGATTTCAAAATGTCTGATTATAGTACATTTATTGTGCTTTACTGTTTCTGCTGTTCTACTTTCACTGTTATGTTAAAATAATTAAGCAGGCAACCCTTTTAACTATTTAGCGAAACTATTGGAAAGGTACCAGTGGTTATAGAAGACCTCCTCTAAGCTAATCCACAGTCCACTCCCCCACCCCCTCCAGCCAATCCTCGTATTGTTGGCAATGCAATAAGCTTTTGCCCTGTGAAGATGCACCATTTCTAGTTTGGGAAAACCACTGGAAAGTGATATTGTGTCAGTAGCGTCATTTATGGCAAGAATTACTGCAATATTGTGCCCTTTTCTTGGATCTGCTTTGTAATGTTCCTGTGTTTTTCACTGTTTTGAGTGGAAAATTTGTTTCTAATGTCAGCTGATGGAAGCCATTCTGGTGGTGTGTTTCTTACACACAGTGATGCGATGTCTTACATCTGAAGTATGTAGTGAGTAAACCTGCATAAAATACAGGCTCTCCGGTGAACTTTGCTGTGCTTATCAAACCATGCACAAGCATTTTCCTATTAATTCTATAAAATGCATGTTGGCATTTACTAGTACAATCTTTTCTGCAGTCAGTACTGAAGTATGCCTTGGTGAATTGTGAGGACATAAATTATACTTATATTCAACTCTAATGATTGGTCTGTAAGTCAGCACTTAAAGTATGATGAGCATATAGGATGAAATAATTTTCAGCTAACAAAAGCCTAAGTGTATAATAAAGTGAGTATTCATTTCTCAGTGGATGAAATCCATTCTGAAAGTCTTTTAATGGTATGTTTTTGCATTTTGTGGAAGCTAAAGTAATGTATTTGTAATGCATAAAGACTTCAGCTTAAAAATGCTTCATAAATATAAACTATTTTAAAAGAAAGTATGCTGAAAATTTTCTTAGACATAATATGACTGGATAAGACTTTGGCAAAAACAGTTGAGATTCAGTTGCTCAGAACTGCTTTTGAAGAAGAAGGTACTTGTAATTTTTCATTCAGTTATTTCCAGTTCTTTGATTTATTCTAGCCCAATTTTTCAGTCTTTCTGCAACAGATTCAGACCTGTTTGTTCTGACAGTCTTCCAAGCCAGTCTTTTGCCTCGAGCTTAGTGCACTGCTCTTTCTGTCTTTATAGTAATTTTAGTAAAATATAACAGTAGGATCTGTTTTGTTTGTTTTTTAATCTAAAATTAATTTTTATTAATATATTAAGTCTCTTAGGGTTAAATTCTGTAGTGAAAGGAAGTTCACTCACTAATTATCCTGCTCTCAGACTTCCAAAGATTCATTTTCTTGATTACAACATAACTTGTCTTATGCTACAAATAAATACATGTCCCTAAAAGTGCAGGCTGAACAAACCTCCTTGGCTCAAATTATTTCATCCCTACTCCATTTTTATATTGTGTTACATCTGAAAAGTGCCCTGTTTAGATAGCAAGCTTATTGAGATGAGTACTGCTGATTTATTTATGCATTTATTACCCTTCTGATGAAAACTGGGTGGCTTTCTGCACTGGGTCTGGTCTTTCGGTGAGTGATGGCAGATGCTACTGGCTCTGCAGCTCAGCATTCTATCAGAGCTGGCTTAAATGATGAGGAAAATCATCTCTTTGCTATCTAATTTGTATAATTAGTTTAGTTTGCAAAATACATAGAAATAGGCATTCTAGAGCATACTGTGGGTTTACCTAGTCCAGGATCCTGCTTCTAGTAGTAGCCATTAACAGACAAACCTGATGAGTGAGCTTAACTCTAGACTGTGACCTGACTGCAGCTGTGTGTGCAGATGCTTTTCAGACCATGTTCTGAGCAGTTGCATCAGCTCGTGAAAAGATAATTCTGTACTGGGAATTTGTTAGAATTAGAATTTTGATTATTCTATTTTCCAGAGCTTTCTCCAAGGAAGTACTGTAGTAAAAAAGTCTTAGTTTCCCCAAAATCTGAGAACATTGTAACTATTATTAAAATAATGAATGCTTAGCAGCATCCATGTGTATGAAAGCATATATCGTGATACCGAATATTGTGATACCTCAAGTTTTTCGGAGATGTAAAAGGTGATTTGGCCAATGAGATGGCAGCTGAAGGGTCAGTAACGGTAGGAAATCTGGCTGCTCTGGTGCCTTTTCTGTTTCCACCCTTTGTTTGTTTGTTTATTTATTTATTGCATTCAAGAAGCCTGCTCTAGTAAGGCTGGTGCAACCCCAGGGAAGTGTGGCTGTGAAGCAAAGAAGGGAGAAAAGAAGCAGGAACAAGCTCCTTTGCTCTCCCAAGGGGAGTGTGGGTTCGGCAGGTTGCAGTGCTGAGCTGCAGGTAGAGGAAGAGAGGGCAGGCAAATAGAGAGGCAGCACAGAACAAGGCACAGGCCAGTTTTTCACCTGTTAGCTGACCATGTTTAAGCATGTTGTCCTTCCGTTTTTAAAGGAAGAGCTTGCCTAGTAGCACCCTCTGGTGAGTCCTGCAGGGAAATAAACAGGATCAGAAGGAGCACCCTGTAGTACAAGCTCCTGTCCCTTGTGATTAAGGTTATGATATCATGTAATCTACTTAGTAGGTTTATAAATATTCAGAGTTTTATGGGAGGGTGATCCTTCAAGGTATTCAGCAGCTTTTTGCATTTGTGAGAAGTTGTGAAAGATCTTAGTATGTTATCAAGGTGTACATTGGAGCAGTGTAAGCTTAATACAGGGTTAAAGAACTGTAAAACTGGAGGACGCTATTGCAAATATAAAAGAATATTTATATGTAAATAGAATTGTGCGTGCTTAGTTTGAGAAATTTAGAAATAAAAGACAGTGTTATTGAGAAATTCTTGAACGGAATGCGTGTGTGATCTCATGCACTGAAACACCCCGGGCAACATTGTCATAGATGCTGCATTTTGTTGTGTAATTATTCATTTATTTTTGCAGTCTGCATGTGTGTACATTGCTCAGAAACTTCCCAACTTTCACAAAAGGATAGAAGACTAATCTTAAACACTGAAAATGTGTATTTATTCAGTGCTTTACTTATATACCAGGCTTCCATGTTGTTGCGTTTAGTAGCAAAATTGTGTTCATTTAAAATAGTGTTTATATCCTGATGAGATATTCTATGATGTCATCACTAGCTGGATAGATGTGGGGAGAGCAGTGGGTGTTGTGTGCCTTGACTTTAGCAAAGCATTTGACACATCTCCTGCCACATCCCTGTTATGAAACTTGGTGTGGGATAGGTGAGTGGACAGAGAGGTGGATTGACAACTGGCTGACTGGCAGAGTCAGAGGGTTGTCGTCAGTGGTGCCGAGTCTGGTCAGAGGCCTGTAAGTAGTGGAGTTTTCAGGGGTTGGTGCTGGGTCCCATCTAGTTCAACATCTTCATCAATGACCTGGATGAAAGGATAGAGTCCATCCTCAGCAAGTTTGCTGATGATACAGTGCTGAGAGGAAGGTTTTGTTATCATTTGTTGAGACCTGGACAGACTTGAGAGTTGGGCAGGGAGGAACCTGATGAGGTTCAACAAGAGCAAGTGCAGAATCTTGCACCACGTAACTGCACGCATTGCTACAGGTTAGGCGATGACCTGATGGAGAAGGACCTGAGGGTCTTGGTGGGCAACAGGTTGGCCACAAGCCAGCAGTGTGCCCTTGTGGCCAAGAAGGCCAATGTTATCCTGGGGCGCATTAAAAAGAGCGTGGCCAGCAGGTCGAGGGAGGTGATCCTCCTCCTCTACTCTGCCCTGATGAGGCCACATTTAGATTACTGTGTCAAGTTCTGGGTGCCCCAGGTCAAAAAAACTGGGATGTCTTAGATGGAGTCCAGCAGAGGGCCATAAAGGTGATAAAGGGCCTGCAGCATCTCCTATATGAGGAAGGACTGAGTAACCTGAGTCTGTTCAGCGTGTGGAAAAGAAGATGCAGAGGGGACCTGATAAACATTTGTCAATCTCTAAAGGGATGTGGGAGGCAAATGGATGAGGCTGGGCTCTTCTCAATGGTGCATTGCTATAGGACAAGGAGTAACAGCCTAAAACTTGAGCATAGGAAGTTCTGTACTAATTTGCAAAAGAAATTCTTTACAGTAACGATGACGGAGCACTGGAACAGGTTGCCCAGAGAGGCTCTGGTGTCTACTTCTAGGTAGATATTCAAGACCCATCTGGACACCTACCTATGCAATTCATTGTATGCAACCTGCTTTAGCAGGGGGTTGGGCTAAACGATCTCTTGAGGTCCCTTTCACCCCCTGTGATTGTTGTCATACTGTAAAGAGCTGATAACTGCCTATTTCTACCATTTCATTCACTTAACCTTTCTTTTCAGCTTTCTCTACTAGCACAAAAAGACATTTATTATGTCAAATAGGTTTATATTTGTATTTACTAATCTACATGATTTGCTTTCAACAGAGTCCAGAGAGGGTTGAATAGTAAATGCTTATATATAAAATGCTCAGTGTGATCTTCACACATAAGGATCTTATTTCCTTTAAATTCAGACTACTAACATACAGTCACAGGATGGTTTGGGTTGGAAGGGACCTTTAATATCATCTAGTTCCAACCCCCTGCTATAGGCAGGGACACCTCCCTCTGGACCAGGTTACTCACAGCCCCATCCAGCCTGGCCTTGAGTGCTTCCAGGGAGGCGCATCCTCAACCTGTTCCATTGTTTCATTACCTTCACAGTCAAAAATTTCTTCCCAGTATCTAGTCTAAATCTACCCTCTTAGAGTTTATAACCATTTCCCCTCATCCTGTCACTACCTGCCTCATAAAAAATCCCTCCCCAGCTTTCCTTTAGGTACTGGAAGTCTGCTGTAAAGTCTCCTCAGAGCCTTCTCTTCCCTGCGCTCTTCTCTTAGCCTGTCCTCATAGGGGAGGTGCTCCAGCCCTCTGATCATCTTTGTGGCCCTCCTCTGGACCTGCTCCATGTCCTTGTGTTGGGGGCTCTGGAACTGGATGCAGTATTCCAGATGGGGTCTTATAAGAGCTGAGTAGAGGGATGGAATCACCTCCCTCAACCTGTTGGTCACGCTTTTCTTGATGCAACCTAGGATGTGGTTGGCCTTCTGGGCTGCAAGAGCACATTGCTGGCTCACACTGAATCTTTCATCAACTGACACTCCCAAATCCTTGTCCTCGGAGCTGCTCTCCAGCCATTCTCTGCCCAATCTGTATCCGTGCTTGAAAGTGCTCCAACCCAGATGCAGAACCTTGCACTTGGCCTTGTTGAACTTCATGAGGTTGGCATGCCCCTCCCCCCGCCCCCCCCCCCCCCCGACCTGTCAAGGTCCCTCTGGATGACATCCCTTTCCTCTAGTTGCACCACTAAGCTTTGGTGTTGTCTGCATTCTGGCTGCTTTCAAGTGAAATCTGCAAAAGTAAGAGCATAAAGGGTTAAGTCCAAAAATCTCTAGTGAAAGGTTGTAAGGAATGCTTAACTCGTAAGTCGGTAGTTCCTTAAATCCCATCTCCATGTAGTCACTCACAGGGCACTGTATCACAGAATTGTAGGGGTTGGAAGGGACCTCTAGAGATCATCGAGACCAACCTCCCTGCCAAAGCAGGTTCCCTAAACCAGGTCGCACAGGTAGGCGTCCAGGTGAGACTTGAACATCTCCAGAGAAGGAGACTCCACCACCCCCCTGGGCAGCCTGTTCCAGTGCTCCGTCACCTCACCTAAAGAAGTTCTTGTGCACATTCGTGCAAAACTTCTTATGCTGCATCTTGTGTCCGTCTCCCCTTGTCCTGTCTCCACGTACCACTGAAAAGAGCCTGGCCTCACCACTATGGGCCCCACACCTCAGATATTTATAAACCTGGGTCAGGTCCTCTCTCAGTCTTCTTTTCTCAAGGCTGAACAGACCCAGTTCACTCAACCTTTCTCCATAGCAGAGATGCTCCATGCCCCTCACCATCTTTGTTGCCCTCCGCTGGACTCTTTCCAAGAGATCCCTGTCTTTTTGGTACTGCGGAGCCCCGGACTGGATGCAGTGCTCCAGATGAGGCCTCACCAGGGCAGAGCAGAGGGGGAGGATCACCTCCTCAACCTGCTGGCCACGCTCTTTTTAATGCACGCCAGGATGCCATTGGCCTTTTGGCCACAAGGGCACACTGCTGGCTCATGGCCGACCTGTTGTCCACCAGGACACCCAGGTCCCTCTCTGCAGAGCTCCTCTCCAGCAGCTCATCCCCCATCTTGTACTGGTGCATGCAATTATTCCTCCTAGATGTAAGACTTGCTTTTGTTGAACCTCATCCGGTCTTTTTCTGCCCAGCTCTCCAGCCCATCCAGGTCTTGCTGAATGGCAGCACGGCCTTCAGGTGTGTCAGCCAATCCTCCCAACTTCGTATCATCAGCAAACTTACTGAGGGTGGCCACCATCCCCTCATCGAGGTCATTGATGAAGATGTTGAACAAGACTGGACCCAGCACCGACCCCTGAGGATCACCACTGGTTACAGGCCTCCAACCGGACTCTGCACCGCCAATGATGAGCCTCTGCGCTCTGCCAGTCAGCCAGTTCTCAACCCATCTCACTGTCCGCTCATCTATCCCACACTTCCTCAGCTTTGTTATAAGGATGTTGTGGGAGACAGTATCAAATGCCTTTCTAAAATCAAGGTAGACTACATCCACTGCTCTTCCCCCATCCACCCAGCATGTGACAACATCATAGAAGGCCACCACACTGGTTGAGCACAACCTCTCCTTGGTGAACCCGTGCTGACTACTCCTGATCACCTCCTTTTCTCCCAGTTGTCTGGAGATGGCATCCAGCACAGCTGTTCCATCACCTTTCCAGGGACAGAGGTGAGGCTGACAGGCCTATAATTACCTGGGTCTTCCTTCTTGTCCTTTTTGAAGGCTAGAGTGATGTTGGCTCTCCTCCAGTCTTCAGAGACCTCACCCATTATCCAAGACCTCTCAAAGATGATGGAGAGAGGTTCGGCAGTGACCTCTGCCAGCTCCCTCAGCACACTGTAGCCCAAGTGCATGCATCAACTGCTTGTTCCGTATAACATTATGGCCAGAAGCTGCTTCAAATTGCAAGCTTTCACCCTTCTGTAGTTTTGAAAAATGGAGAGTTGTGCTTAACGATCAGCTGGTGCAGCAGCCTACTGTCACCACAGGGTGCAGTGCTCAGTCATTGATAAGATAGTTTTGATTTCATTAGCCACAGTTGTTAATGTTGCCGCTTACTCCTTTCAAAGGATGGAAACCCTTGTAATTTTAGACAAAGACTGAAATACATTGGAGTGATTAGGATTTTTTTTCCATTGGCAGTATTTGCCAGATTCCAAGTAGAGAGCATTCTGTATTTTGAGCAGTTGAGCAGCTTCAAGATTTCTTTCAGCATGAAGCTTTTGCTCCAAATTTATTTCTACTGTGCTTGCTGTAATGCATTTATTTGTTTCCAACACCTGTCCATCCGCAGATGCTCTCCTCCCTGAATGATGGAACCAAGGAGTGCCAAATACATATGCGTATTTAAAGAAGGGTCTTACTAATGCTAGAGTTTGTACTGTGCGTTATTGTTATTATGCCATAGTATCAACTGCTCACTGTTGTTTTCCCTCTCTTTTTCAGCTTTTTTAATTGCCTGGTGAGAATGGCAAGGATTCGGATTTCTAGCACAATCATTACGCTTCTTGTTATGGTCCAGACTGGATTCCTACTCTTCATGTATGCTCGCTACAATAGCTTCACTCCTCATTCAGAAGAGAAATCGTCTCGAGTCCACATCCTCATCCTCTCCTCCTGGAGGTCGGGATCTTCTTTTGTCGGCCAGCTTTTCAGCCAGCACCCCAGTGTCTTCTACCTGATGGAGCCTGCATGGCATGTATGGGTTACAATGTACCAGAACAGTGCCAAAGTCTTGCACATGGCGGTGCGGGACCTGGTCAGGTCAGTCTTTCTCTGTGATATGTCTGTTTTTGATGCCTATATGCCTTGGAAAAGAAACTTATCTGACCTTTTCCAGTGGGCAGTGAGTCGGGCTCTGTGTTCAGCTCCCGCTTGTGACTCCTTTCAGCGTACTGACATAACCAGTGAAATGGCATGCAAAACTCTTTGTGGACGGTACCCATTCAGCAAGGTGGAAGAAGCCTGTAAAACTTACAGCCACGTTGTCATCAAGGAGGTTCGCTTCTTTGACCTGAAGGTCCTCTACCCACTTCTCACCGATCCATCCCTGAATCTCAAAATAATCCACTTGGTCCGTGATCCCAGGGCGGTTGTAAAGTCACGAGAACAATCAGTCAAAGCATTAGCCCGTGACAATGGAATTGTTCTGAGTACCAATGGCACTAAAGTGGAAGACAGCAAATATAAAGTAATGCAAGAGATTTGTAGAAGTCATGTTCAGATTTATGAAACAGCAACTCTAAAACCACCTAGCTTCCTTAAAGATCGCTATCTAATGATTCGTTTTGAAGATCTGGTAAGAGACCCATTGTCAGAAATTTCAGAAATGTATAAATTTGCAGATCTTAGTTTGACCCCCACACTTAAAAGCTGGGTCTATAACATCACACATGGACAGGGATCAGGAAAAAAAAAAGAAGCCTTCAAAATCACATCTCGAGATGCAGTTAATGTTTCCCAGGCCTGGAGAAATGTTCTTTCATTCCAGAAAATTAAAAAAATACAGGACGTTTGCAAAGGCGCTATAAACATGCTGGGCTATCAGCTAGTGGATTCAGAAAAAGAACAAAGAGATCTGTCACTGGATTTAGTGTTGCCAAGAAGACAAAATCAATTCAGTTGGTCATCGTTCAACCCAAAGAACTAAGCCATTACTTTGAGAGATTAGGGAGGGGAAAAAGGGAGAGTGTATCTATCTGTTTTGCAGTGTATAGGTAGTTTGAAAATCCTTGGCTAATGACTTTAATTATTTTCCTGCCTGCTGGTTCACAAAATAAAGCTTTTTTTTTTCCCCCCCAAACTTCTTACACCACAAAACAAATAAACAAAAAAAAATTGTGAAAAATTCAGCAAGATACTTGTGAGATTGTAAATTTGCAACTGTTTGTGCTGTTTTGAGTGTTGTTTTTAAAATATAAATTCTTTCGATAAAAGACATCTTTGTTCATTGATAATAGTTTTGTTCCAGTTTCATACTTAAAATATTCATTGTTTTTGATTCATATAAAGGGATCAAAATACAAACTAATTTGCCTTTTCTTTTTTCCCCCCTAAGAAATACTTGTCTTTTTTCTTTTGCTTTAAAATTGTTATGCAGTTGTGTATTTTTTTAGGCTTCTTTAAATTTCAACAGCTGGAATAACTGCAGTGGTTCCGTTGTAAAAGGCTCAAGGTTATCTTATTGATAGTTTTCTTGGAGTTTTGCAGTGGCAGATTTTGCAGTCAAATAGTTAAACAGAGATGTTGGCAAAGTGCAAAAAGCTTGGGATGCAAAAAACGAGGCGAGAAATCTTTGTTGGAGTTGCTGTGGAAATAGCATGTTAATGCTGTCCCAATTGTGTTTCAGTATTGCAACACAGTAGGCACATGTTTGATTCCTGTGAGAAACACTCGAAGTCAAAAATTTCAGTTGGACAAGGATCTTAGCGATAGCGATAGTGATAGTTTATTCACTATTTCAGTAACGGCCGCACGCCACCTATTGGCAACGGAGCGATTGCGCACCGGTCAGCGAAATTGATTCCGTTCGGTGCCCTAATTCGACGCGGGGAAATCTCTCCTGGCGCTCGCTCGTTGGTTGAGCGTCTTAGACTCACAATTTCCCGACGCTGTTGCTATGATACAGTTCTATATAAGGTTTGTTACCAGTCTGTTTCTTTGGTATGTTTTGTACTCTCCCATGGAAATAGGAGGGCAATACAAGTTTCTTAAAGAGCCCAGGCTAAAAGGGCAGGGTGGAGGAACAGAGTTGGGATCAGAGTTTTTTCCTTTCAAATACCAGAGCTGAATCGTACTCCCAAAGGAAAAAGGAGGGAGGAGGACAGCTGTGGAGGTGGAGAGCAGTGGAGCTGGGGAGCAGTTGGCACGAAGCCTCAGGGCGGATGGGCCGCGTCCGTTGGAGGGTCGCTGCACGGGAGGGTCGTGCGGAGCTTAGCTTTGCGACAACGGCGCCGCGACCGACTCTAACCGCTGGGATGAGGATCGTGCGGGCTCTAGGCGGGCCGGGAGAAAGACCGCGTACCACTAGCACGACGGCAAAACCGAGGGGATTACCGAGGGTACCCTGAGCCGCGGCCCCGTCTCGGGTACCCCACGACTCCGCGGGGAGGCAGCAGCACGGCGGTGGGAGGAGTGTGGTCCGGTCGGGGGCGGGCTGCGATCGGCAGCTCCCGGTGGGAGAGGCGGGCGGGGGTCGCGCCCTGTGAGCCTTCCCGCTGAAGGAGGCTCTGCGAGGTGCCGCTTTCGGGCTTTTTTAAAGGAGAACGAGCGCGGCGAGGTGTAGCGTTTCCCGCGGCGGCGCCAGGAGGGGCCGTGGCTCCCTGCTGGTGTTCGGCGGCGTTCCGCGCGGTCCTCGCTCCGCTCTTCACCACGTACACCGAGAGCACGTGCGCGGTGCCCGGGAGCTGTGCGGTGGCGGCAGCCTAGGATGCTTTCCTGTGGTGGTGGCAACGAGTGACCGAGTGACCGGGATCATCACCGCGGTGCCACGAATCTGGTCCATCAGCAGCGGCAGCCCCAGGGGGTTCTCGTGGCCGCCCGGAGGCGGCAGAACGGGGGCGCGGCCGCAGAACGCAGCCGGCTGGAAGCGGGCGGGGAGCCGCGCCGGGGCCTCTGCTGTCACCCGATGCCGTCTCTGGTGCCCGGAGACCAGGTTTGCAGTGGCATACGTGCCTCGGAGTACTGGAGGGGGACCTGCGAGGACATAGGCAAATGACCGCTTCGCAGGTTCCTGGTTAGCTAGAGTCAGAGCAACCCCAGGGAATCGCCAAAAGAGCTAGTAGGAGGGAAGACCAGAGGAGGATTGTAGAGCCTCCTCCCATGAGTCACAGCCTGAAGCACTGATTGAGCAGCTGGGGAAAAGACCCGGTCAGCCCTGGGAGCACAGGTGAAGGCAGTTCAGCTGTGGGGCCAGAAGGGACGGAGCCTGGCTGCAGCTCTTAGACCTCATTTAAGGGCTGACTGCCACGGGGGAAGGAGCTCTGGTTGGAGATGTCTCCTTGGCGAAGCTTTCTCTTGTGAACCTGGAATCCTCTGATAAGGTGAGCAATCTTCCTTGCTTCCTTTATGGTGCCTTTCTATTGTACTGGTCCTTCTGTCGTCACATCTCTGTTGTAATGCATTTCCTATTGCATTGATCTGTCCAGTTGCTACACCTAGTAATCACAGGAGCTAGGTGTATACACACTTCGTCAGAACTTTCCTAGAGCTTCTCCTATTGTGGTTCCCTCGGGACCTTTACTGAAGCAGGAACTGTCAGAGAGAAATCCAGGAAAGAGCAATGTTTCTAGAAAATCCTGTTGAAGAAAGGCTACTAGCCTCACACAGGTTAGGGAAAACTGCTGATAATAGTTGTGTGTTCTCTCTTCCAGGGGTGGGGCTGCAGGCTAAGGTATCCCTTCATCTGTGTGGATGTCACTGGCAACATTTGGCTTAGATTTGTACGTCTTTTGTCTCACTCTGTGGGAAAGAGAAGAAGGAGGAATCCTGTCACTTTTGGCAGGAACTACTGTGGTTGAAGGTGAAAAGACCGAGAAGAAGTAAAGCAGGTGAGGTCTGAAATGAAGCTGCTGGAAGATTTTTCTAGCTGCAGACAAGGTGAATCCTATCCCTGTGAGTGAGGAAAGGTACCTCTAAGCAGTCATCAGTTGTCCAGGTCACCAGCATGTACCAGAAGGGAACAGAACCAGGTCCTAAACTGGCCAAAGGGATATTCCATACCATGTGGCATCATGCTGAGCAATAAAACTGGGGGAGTTGGCCAAGGGGAGAGACTACTGCTTGGGGACTGTCTGGGCATCAGTCAGGAGGTAATGTGTATCACTTGCTTTGTATAGCCTTTTACTGTTGTTTTTATTTTTTCTTCCCTTGCTGTCCTATAAAACTGTTCTAAACTCACAAGTGCTGCTTTTTTTTTTTTTTTTCTTTTTTCTTTCTAATTCTCTCCCCCAGCCCACTGAAGAGGAAGGGGAAGTGAGTAGTGATTCTGAGGGCTGGAGCACCTCTGCTGTGAAGAAAGGGAACTGGGCTTGTTTAGCTTGGAGAAGAGAAGGCTGCGGGGAGACCTCATTGTGGACTTCCAGTACTTGAAGGGAGTGAATAAACAGGAGGGGGAATGGCTGTTTATGAGGGTGATAGGGCAAGGGGGTATGGTCAAACTGAGACAGGAAAGTTTAGGTTAGATTTTAGGAGGATGTTTTTCCCTCAGAGGGTGGTGAGGCACTGGCACAGGTTGCCCAAGGAGGCTGTGGATGCCCCATCCCTGCAGGCATTCAAGGCCAGGCTGGATGTGGCTCTGGGCAGCCTGGGCTGCTGGTTGGCGACCTGCACACAGCAGGGGGATTGAAGCTAGATGAGCAGGTCCTTTTCAACCCAGGCTATTCTATGATGACTCTATATCTGAGTAGGAGTCCCTTTCTTTTCTCATTTGTCCAGGGATTTGGAGAAGTGAGGACATGAAATGAGTGGTGTGGTTATTCATCATAAGGTTGGGCACATTTACAGGAGAGTAACGAAAAAATCTTTCTCCAGTGTTGTAACTGAAACATTTGCAAGTGAAATATATGCTTTGCACTGTTACCACTTTATTTGGCCTGTGGGCTTCTGCTTCTTCCTGTCTAAGGAGCACGTGCTCTGCCCATAACAGACAAAACAAACAAAAAAACACAATCACAACCTGCAACTCCTGAAAATAGCACTCTCTCCCATTAACTGTAGTCCTATTCCTTGGCTAATTTATGTTCCGTGATGCAGTAGTAGAGAATCCACTCTGAAGGCTTACAATTTTACTCACTCTTCTCTCCAGCAGCAGCATCTGCCATGTAACCCTCATGTATAAGAGTTGCTGTGTATTTGATTGTTTAGTTAATTTGTTCTCTAGCTGTGTTTCTGAAGGCCCACACTACTTGTGGGGATAGTTTCAAGTGTTTCACAATAACAACTAATAGGATAAATAGGTAATGTTTCACTGTTTCTCTCTTACTGCATATAGCTTGTAAGATGAGCATGTCTCCATTATGTTTTATTTAGCTGAAGGGAAGTTGGAAGCTGAGCAGCAGAACGAACCTGAGAATTCTAATTACTTCTCTTTCATTCAAAAACTAAATTAAATGCTCATTTTCTGTTTTCAGTCCCAGTGGTGTTGCTATTAACAGAGGAAGGCGTATCAAATCTGTTTGGATTATGAGCACACAAGGACCAAGTAGTGAAGGCAGCAAAGACTCCCTAATAACTAAGAAAAAAAAAAAACCTAAAACATTTTGGGTAGCAGTATTTGTCAAAAAAGTCCTTTATCTGACCTATTTTTGGATTCTTTCCTGTTGAAACATCCTTGTTGTTGACTGAATCAAGTCAGAGAGGTTACAGAGATTCTCTGTGGTATTTCAGAGATCATGTAAAAGGCTGTTTGCAGTGTCTGATACACAGACTCAGATGTGAAAGATCCAAATAACTTATTACAAGTTTTCACATCACTTACATACATTCTTAAGTTTCATTTCGTAGCTTTCCCATCTGCTCTTACAGCTCTCCCATCCACTTTTACATGTCAACAGAGTATTCCGCAAATCCTCCGTAACTGTGCACTGATCTGATCAGAGCCATGAGCCATTTCTATTGCTTTTTCTCCTCTTCTAGAGGTATCCTTGCTTCTCATGCTGTTTATCTTGCTTCACAGCTGCTGCTTTGAATAGTCTTCCTGGTATTCCCACAGCTGTTAAACAGATTCAGCATCTGACTTTTTACTCCTCCCTAAATGAATTTAAGTGGCTGTTTATGATGTTGAAGTTCTTCAATCCTAGATATATGACATTATAAAAATTCATGCTTTTATCCAATCAAACAATGCACCAGAAGACTGCAAAACCCTCAGTAACTACTGCTGAACAAATGCTTTGAATCTACTACTGCTACACTTGCCTTGAATCCCTGTTTGCAAGAGATAATGCACTGGCAGTATCTCTTGCAAACTATACTGCTAGTATAACGTCAAGACAGTTATGAAGATCAGTTGGGATGACGCTGGTAAAGGGGTGCACAGAGCAGACAGTAGCTGAGGCTGAAGGAAAACTTGATTCCTGATAGCACTTTCGCTGCTGAGAAATAAAAGCACAGACTCTGAGGTAAATTCAGTAATGTGGAATACCCTAGGCTGACAATTAGTTTGTTCTTCAGTGTCAACTTCTGTCATGATTTATTACGTACAAGAAATTGTAGATTTTGTCAGAAGCTGTTTCAGTGTCTAGCTGTTATCGTTATCTGGGACTGGCTGCTGCTTGACATGCTGTCAACCTGTTGATAAGGTGTGCATTTCTTTCTCTTTCAATACTGAAAGTGGCATACCATTCTTTTTCTTCTGCTATGTAAAACTCCCGTTGTCGTCTTTGTAGTTTTGAGTTGTGTTCTCAAGCAGAATGTACAGCTGGATCTAGAACAGTTGCCAAAGAGGTATCTGCAGGCAAATGGTGCTGGATTTCCCAGGCGGAGGTCATAAAGTTCTTCACCTCCTTGCAAAGTGTTCTCATATTATTCTTACATAGCTTTGTATGTTACTGCTGTTCTGAGACTTTTTTGACAAATCCATTCTCTGTTTCCCAAAGGTGATGCTGAGAAACACGCCTCATGATGACTTATGCATACCTCACATTTCATATTAATTCTTCCTTTGGGTCAAAACTAGACCGAATACTTGAAACCATGCCTGGAAATCGCACTGTTATAAAAACAGTTCAGCTGTGGTGGCCGTGGTCAGAACACCCTGTGGCAGATCCTGGCAGTGATTGTGAATGAAAGAACTGACAACAAATTGCTTGATATCAAAACCATTCTGGTGGGTATCTACAAGCCTTGGGTGATGCGGATGGAATCTCAGAGTGGTGTGGCCAGGTACTGAAGCTGTTACTACGTTTTTTTCGTGAAGTTGTATGACTGTTTTGAATTGCTCTGTTAATAATTTCAAGCCATCCTTAGCTTCACTGCATGCATCTGTCCAACTGATACCAGCTTTTTCATCACCTCAGATGCTGGAAAAAAACAAACAAACAGGAAAACAACATCAATTTGATGATTACTTACTTATTTACAGATATTCATAAGCACTTAGCACAGCTCTTCTGGGGGTGGAGAAGGTTTCCTTGGTCTTTTTTTAATTTACGCTTTTTTATCACCCCTCTCATCCTCCATCTAACTTAAAGGTTTTTCTCTGCAAAGAAGAGAAAGCACGGAGCGCCAGGGACTGTGGTGCAGCTCCGCGTCGAACCGGTCAGCGAAGTTGTTTCCGCGGTCTCTGATGCCCCCTTGTGGCTAACCGGTGGAATGGCGGCCGTGTATGTTTGCTGCCGCAGACAGCAGGACGCATGCGCCCAGGCACGTGTAAGTGGTGTTCGTACTTAATCGTCGCTCTGCGCAACGAATCTGCCAAGTTTTGTTATGCTTAGTTCTCCAGTCAATAGTGCACATGCGCCAGAAAGCTTATAAATAGCATCGATTTCTAAGAAGCCTTGAGATGCGAGCAAGCAGTTAATTCTTGGACCACCGGCTCAGCGATACTTTTCTCTCTTCCAAACCTGGATGATCTTTATCTAATTTCTCGGGCGGTTTTACGCCCAAGACCGTCTCGGTAATAGACTACTGGAGCTCCAGGAGAGCTTGAGTGCGCGGCGGCGGGCGCATGCGTAGTGCGGCGCGG